TGAATGACTTGGCAAGTTACTTGACTTTGAACTCAACCTATTCACACAAAAACACATGTAACCCAAGCACAATGTAAACCCAGTTTGGGTCAGTAAGCACTGACCACAACAAGCTGAAGGTCTAGAGCAAATCAGCCGAATTGACCACAAAGGAATTTTGAAAGTCAGAAGTCTCGATCACACCAAAATCATTAGTAAACATCCTGTCTTCTGTGTGGTGCAGTTTCATTCAGAGCTTTTCTTACACTTTTCACTTTCCCAGCTCTGGAATTAGCTGCTTGATTCTATGCCCCTCAAACTGCCCAACTTAACTGTCTAACTGGCTAACTGCAAGGCCAGGGATAGGTGCCAGAGGATATGAATCCCAGGCCATACTCTTTTTGTGTCTGGCTGAGTGCACAACTGTAAAACACTTGGCTAAAGCTAAGTAGAAAGACCTAGAAGATGTAAAGAGCCCTGGTGATGCCCCAGAGTACACGACTTCTAAACGAAACAGAACTGTGTACAGAGAAGGGCTTAACGCTGACACAAGTCACAGCTACAGAAAAGGCATTCAAGAAACTTCAGGGCAAAGATGAGTGATAATTTGATCACTGTTTTTGTAATTCAGTAATCCATGTGCCTAAAAAATGAAAGTGTTTTGAAATCTCTGTGAAATGCTAAGAAGCATGAATAAAAATGAAGACCATCAAAAAAGGGGAATGAAGTAAATATTGCATTTATTGACAATCATTTCATTTCATCAGTCAGTAGTACAGAAGTTATTTCTTTGGCATAACCAAAGTGTTTAATCTCAACAAATAAAATGTTTTCTCAAAAGTGGTATTCTTCAAATCTCACTCTGATAGTAGCAGACAGGGAACTCCAGGCAGCAGATACAGTTGCAAAAGACTTTTTTCCTGCCCAAAGATGCTGCTATCTCCAGCTATGTTTTGTTTTATGAGTGGGATTGCTGAAGGCTAGACAAATTTTTGTCAACTAATGAAAATTCACCTCAGAAAATGAAATCTTCAAGTAAACAAAATTTTAAAAAGAATGAGGATGAACAGCTAAGAACTAATATAACCTTAAAACAAGGCACACTATTGCATGTGCAACAGTGACAAGCAAAACTAGTGTACAGTACAGGCTTCTTCATAAACTTAAACATTAAATAGAGACATGATCATCCAAATGAGATTACAACAGTTTGTTCACCGGTTTCACCGCTATCTGAATGATGCAGTTATATCAGAGAATTTTTATGGTGTTAACTGAACAAAAGAAGCTCTATTCGTTTCCAAACAATTTTATACCCGTCCCCACTCTTTGTCCCTCAACTCGTTCCTCTTGATCTTCCCAGTGACTGTCTTTGGCAGTTGTTGGACAAATTCCACCTACATGAAAAAAGACAGAAAACAATGGAGCAAATTCTCTACAGAATCAGTTTCAGCTGGTTTTGCAAGATTGGCTCTCAGCACACACACTCTGTGAGTAAGAACTGTTCGCCTAAAGGATCATGTGCAAGCCAAATCAAGGCAAAACAATGTGCAGTTTGTGAAACAATGTTTATGGCTGCCTAGATAGCCAAACTGTGTAGCTGCCTCCCTGGCTCCCCTAACTAAACTGGGTCCTGGAGTAGAAGGATGAAGAGCCATGGGATATTAGAGGACAGAAATGAATGGAAAGGGAAGGAGGGATGTTACTAGGACAAAGTCTGTAACGATCTTTAGTTCCCTTAGATCTACACAAGTGAACCTCTGCTAATAGCTCCTTTCTTGTAGAGCCAGAATTTGAGAAACACCACGTATATACACCTGTATTCTTTTCATTTATTTACTGTGATGACCAGTGCATAATCATTATACAGATTCAGTCAGGTACTTCCACTAAAGCCACTTGAGCCACTCAACTAGTTTCTGCTTGGTTAAAGATGAAGTAAAAGATTGAAAATTTGATCCTGATGAAGAACAGAGAAGATCTAACTAGCACATCATACTCAGCCTAGAAATATATGAAAGTTTTAAACAAATGACTTAATTCTAAATTAAAAAGCAAAACAAAACCATAAACTAATGATATTTAGGTAAGATTTTCCAGTCGGTATTATACCTGAATCTTGACCATTGCCTCTTTCAGATTACTCATAGAAATCAAACTAGTAATTCTCCTGATATTTATGGATACATGCCCTATGTTTAAATTTTTACTCAGAAGCATTTACCTTTCTGGGATACTTGTATGGAGCAGTAGTTTTCTTGACATGCTCCTGTAATTCACGGGCTAAACTCTCCAGGTCATCACATGTAAAGCCAGAAGATAGGACCACAAATGCTTTCACAACCTACAAGATAAAAGCAAAAAAAGTGATCTGACATCAACCTTTTTAAAGAGCTCTTAAGAGTTTTTGAGATACACTGTTTACCAGTGAGTAGTATGGCTCTGAGTCATGACATGCAAAAGGAAAGAACAAATCCTGTACGAAGTGGCTGTGCCCAACTTTATGCACATGAAATAGTTGAAAGCTCAATTTTCTAACTCTCATTTCACAGCAACAGAATTTGCTTTTTCCTCTCCCAGGGCATCTAGAATAGGAAACTAACAGGTGACTCTGCAGAGTCTCCCTGAAGTGTAGGGATATTTTATTTCTCTGACATTTACACTGGGGACAACAGGCCTACATTATCTCGGAGCAGGACGGTATTGCTAGTCATGAAATGTTTCATCCTGACGGAAATGATCATGCACTAGGCTGCCGCAGGTCCTGTCGAAGCACCGGACAGTCGCTCACACATTTACACAAACTCTAATGCTGGATCAGTTACTGTATAACTTTGGTTACACTGAGACAGCTAGGAAAGACAATCTCAATGCACAGGTAAGTGCTTAATAACAAGAAATTCCGATGAGAGAAAAGCATCTGTCACTGTAATGTTCTCCATAGAAAAAAACCCTTGGGGGACTAAGAAGAGTAGGGCATGTAAATGGGAAAGGTTTTTACTCATCACACCAAGTAGGATTATCCATGGTGACATAACTGCCTCATACTCGTACATTATTCAATAAAGCAGGAACTGCCTTATAAAGTTACATATTTACACGAGCATATTGCTTCTCCAACTGCTGTTCAGCATCATTACCTCTCCCCGGAGGGGATCTGGGCTGCTGACAACAGCTGTTTCAGCTACTGCTGGGTGCTCTATCAGGGCACTCTCTACTTCAAATGGCCCAATGCGATACCTAGGTAAGAAGAGAATTACGAAAGATTTGGTTTTATGAAAAGTAGTATAAACAAAATTTTTAATTGCTGTTTTTTTTGTTGTTTGTTTTTTGCAAAACAACATTACAGAATCTTTAGGAAGAATGGAAATGTGTTAAAAAGCAGGAGCATGTAATGATGGTCATGTGATGCAGGACTCTGGGGCACTGCCTACATTTCCATCTTTCTCCAATCCTTGGCAGCTCCTGCCTGTGCCTGCATCTTCCTCATAGTTGAGCCTGTAGTACCAGCTGATGCCATGTTGAACATCACATCATATAAGGGCTTAATTGTGCCAAATACTATATAGGATGTGTAAACATTTCAAGACATTCAAAATAAAATGTTTCAAGGTTCTTTAACTTGGACAGAAATGACCTTGAATTTTAGTTTAAAAAAAAAACAAAAGAAAACAAGCAAACAAAAACCCCTGATATACAAAACCCCACAAACTAAACAATTATCCCTTCTTTACCACAGAAACCTTCACTCTCTTTTTAAACAAATGAGACGTTGAAGGGAAACAGGTGTGCTGGGACACTACTGACATGAGCAGATATTCCTAAGTCACAGGCCAGTGCATTCACCACAGGACCATCATATCAGAAACCTGCCAGGAGCACATGTAGGTTTATAAAACAACAGATTTAGAAAAGAAGCATGCAAACTGACCCCGCAGAAATGATGATATCATCGTCTCTTCCAACAAACCAAAAATATCCATCTTCATCTACAGTCCCTTTGTCCCCAGTGAGATAAAAATCCCCACGTTCACTTGCTGCCGTTTTCTCAGGGTTATCCTTGAAGTGATTTACAAATAGGATTTTAAAATTTGAGTATGTGCTTGCTATACATTTTGCTATGATATACACAATGTTAAATTCATTGGAAGTTAATTTTTAATTCAAAGATCTTCAATAGTTGTGCTGACATTGCTACATAAGACAATAAAACATCTTTTTAAAAAAGCATTTTGTTTGACTGCTGGCTGTTTAAAATGGCCCAGTTTTCCTGCCTGGGTTGAACTAAAGTCTGGATCTACATTTTCCCACTCTATTCTGAAATTAATCTAAGACTCTCTCTAGCCAGATTACCATGGTAGTTTATGAATCAAATACAGGCTAGCAAACCTGGAAATTGGAGAAAAATACAGAGCCTTTGTAACCACTACGGAATTGGAGAGATTTTGGGGTGATTAGGTGTGTTTGTGTGGGGAAGGATAAAACAAACTCCTTACTACATATTTAGAGAAGAAACCAAGTGGTCTTATAGGTTTGCTTCTGACAGCAATTTCGCCCTCTTGTCCTGGAGGTAGAATATTAGCATTTTTATCTATGATCTAGAATGAAAAACATTTATTTTACTCTAAGAAAAACAAAAACAAGCAAAGAAATAAAGCAACAACAACAAAAAACTAACCACGTATGAAAAACATCTAAACAGCAGCCAACAAACTACATTAACAAACCTGAACATCATAAAAGGAAGCTGCTTTGCCCATTGATCCAGGTTTAACCTTCATTCCTTTAGAAACACAACAGATTACTCCCTGCAAAAAATCACAATGAAAACAAAGTGTTAGTGTTAAACAAGTAAACTAGAGTTGCATTGAATTCATTAAATGTATTCTCTCGGATACTTCTGAAGTGAGGAATTAAGATCCACAGGATCCGGTATGTTTGTGCCATACGGTACAAATAAGCAAGATAAAAAACTCCCCAAAACTCTGATCCACTCCTCCTACAGAATTCAAGACTCCTGCTAGCCAATCTTTTTCCTTAGACTAGACTATGTCTATACCCTCATCTATCACAGTTGCTTAGAATGTACTTAAAAATATTTACAGAAAAATCAGAGTACTTCCTCTCCCAACCACCCATGTTGCTGAAAGATTTTGTAAGAAAAGCCATGTAAGTCGGTTCCTTCAGTGATCATCTGTGAAGGAGGCTACTGTGACATTCACAGAAACATGAAGGAAGAAAAGGAAGAAAACAAACATTAAAACCCAGTAAAGCAAAAAGAAATTTCAATGATCTAACAGAATATTGATCCTATAAATGTACCGTTTCAGTCTGGCCATATATTTCATGGATGTCCAGTCCTGTCTTGCTTTTCCACTGCTCCATGACTTCTGGGTTGACTGGCTCCCCACCACTGGCACAGTGCTTCAGGTTCATGAATTTGTAGCTTAAGAGGGAGCAGAAAACCAAGAGGGGAACCTGAATCTACCGGTGGACACAGAGACCTGTTTAGTTTCCAGGTGTCTCTGTTAGCAAAATGGCATGCAAGTATAAACAAACGATACTGGAGTGCTGGTTCCTGGGACAGCTATCCTCATGGAGCGTGGAAAACAGAGTGTTCATATTACTTTGGCTCCTCATACAGCAAAGATGTTAGTCTGGGCTCAACATTATGTGCACTAGCAATAACAGTCAAAGAGTGAAGCACACATGAAACCCAAAGAAAAACTTTTGCTGGAGTCAGCTGGGATGTAAACACATGCTTACAATCAACCACCCAGAGATTTGCTGAGCCAGAGCCTTGACTGATGACCTTTGGCAACAGCCCAAACAAAAACGTGTGAAAGGGGAGGAATGAGCAGCAGTTGAGTCAGAGGATGATGTACAACAGCCACATGAAGTTACACACTGAAAGAACCAAGTTCCCCTGCGCATGACCAAGAAACTCTGTAAAATCCATGCATTTTCTGTGACTGTCTTTTCATGAAGTATATTTTAAACTAAATTACTGTCCCATTTGGGATCAAACAGTTAGATCTGGGAGATGATTAAAGTATAGTTAAAGTAATTAAATGTTAGTAAACCATTTCTTGACATACCTGGAGAAATCATTCTGCACCAGCATGCGAAACAATGTTGGAGCACCAACCAGAGTGTCCACAGGGTATCTAGAGAGAGTCTAGTGAGTTGAATAACAAGATAGACACGTGAAGTTAATAAAAATCACCACAAGGAAGTATAGTAAGCCAGCAATGTAGGGGGCTTTTTCCATACATTTAGGATGGTGGATGATTCAATCCGTGGGAGGCGGTGTATAAAGACACATGATCCAAAAACCCAGGGATCAAAAACAGATGTCACTGCAGTTAGTATCCAGCCTGTGTCTGCTGTGTTCCATATTACGTCTGAGGGAGTCAAATCCAACCAGTATCTAATACAGCAGAAAACAAATTAACATTAACATAAAACGTTATTAACATAAAGAACACACACACAATCCCAAGGTTTTTAACCAGGTGTGTGGGCAATGGGCAACCTCAATAAATTCTTCTTATGAGCTAGCTATTGGGGAAAGGAACACCTATGGCTTAAGTACCTGTATACACATGCATAAATAAATATGACACCAGTCATAATACAGGGTAGAGGAAGGGAAAAAGAGGAGTCTGAATTCCAATGAAAGACGTTTTATTAGGAAGAAAGATAAGGCTGAAGCAGCAGCAGGCAAGGATGCTGTGTTGCACATCAGGTATTTCACCATGACTTATAAGGGCTGCTGAGACACCAGGGTGATCTGTGAAATCAATATTAACTCTGCTTCTTTACAGCTACATGTCACAAAGTGTTCTGCAGCCTAAACAGCATGATACCTCTTGGTGCTGTGCTCTAGACTACTCCCAGCTGATGGCTGTCCCTTGAACCACTTAAGGAAAGGTCCGGAGACATTTACTGAAAAAAAGGAAAATACAGGGACTGATCCCACTCTCCCCTGCAGCTTCTGATCTGATGTTGGAGGGAGCAGGACTGGAACCATACATCAATTATTTCTTATTTAGTACTTTTTAATCAGCTCTACTGTGCAGCTCACATTAACACGTGTTCAACCAGGCCCAAAACCTTTCATACCTTTCACTTAACAGGGGTCTAAAACCAAGACTACCCTGGGAATGTTCAGCCATCTTTGGAGAACCTGTGGTTCCACTGGTAAAGAAGATACAGACAGGGTCTTGAATGCTTGTTTTGACACAGGAATGATCATCAGACTGGCTCCTTTAAAACACAGAATGCAATCACCATCTCAATAGTTACTTCACAAAAACTTCAGAGCGCAACTATGAATTACATGTTGTAGAACTCCCACCCTATATAAGCTTTACAGAGGCTTTTGACCAAATGAGACTAAAATAACATAGAGTTACACTTTACTCTCATATAAACTTCCTCTTAGAAAAAAACAGGATAGAAACTTCCTGGTATAAGACCACTATTACTAAGCAACCTTAATGTGGAAACAGCAGCCAGGCAGTTGCGATTAACATTACAAAGGCTTAATGGTGGAATTTGGTAGATATCTATAATCAGTGAATACTGGTAAATGAGCACGTGTAGTGAAACTCTAATTTCTTCATCACAACCACAGTGTCACTAATGCATACTTACTTGTACAAGTCAGTGAAGTTGAGCCATCCCTCCCTGCTGCCTTGGGACACAATTAGCTTGTTTTTCAGAAACTGACACTCAGATGCTACTGAGTCCACTGCAGGAGCCAGTGTGTCATTGGTGATGATGCAGGTGGCCTTTGAAGCCTGGAGTCGATATAATATGTCTTTGGCTGTTAATTGGGATATTCCTGGAATTAAGACAATTCCTGGAAGAGCAATGAATTTATTTTGGGATGGCAGTTTTAAAATACAGTCCTTTTCTAAGAGAAAAAACTAAGTTAATTATTCCCAAACAGGCCTCTGAGATGAATCTGCCCTCACATTCCCAGGCAAACAGTTACAATGAGGGTAATGCAGCTGCTCTGTGCTCTCCTGGAGGGAACGAAATGCAGACGTAGCTGATGAACTCCATGGCCTTCTGTCAGCTCCATGCTTGCTCCAGCTTTAAGCTCCATGCTTAAAGGACACCTGTCCTTTAGCACCTGGTGCAAATCCATTAGGACTGCCTGCGTATTTGGTAGCTAAGCCAATTACTAGGGTATTAATTTACATTATTTTTTATCATATACCACAGATACTCGATTGTCTCAATCTACTTGCAGTATGAAACACTTCTCCAAAGCTCAGATATGCTCGCTGACCTGTTCGCATGCAAGCCACGTTCACCAGCCACCATTCTGGGATCCGTGGCAGGATCACAATAATTCTGTCTCCCTTTTGCATCCCGCATACTTTAGTCAGTACATTGGCCACTTTCCGAGACAAGAAGCCCAGCTCTTCAAAGCTCCACTTCACTTCTTCTCCTTTTCCATCTATCCACCAATAGGCAGGGTTTGATGGTCTCTTTCCAGCCTACAGAACACAAGGATTCAAAACAAAAACAATTTGTTCAAAGATAAAGAAATTATAAAACACAAGTATCTGCAGATTATGAAAGATCCATATAACTCACAACTTACATATATGCTCTTACTTTTCCTCTGTCCTTCATGGGTGTGGGACTTACTATGGCTATGCATCAAGTTCAGACATTTCCAATAAAATCACCCTTTCGAGACCCTAGCTCTTTACCCTCATTTACCCTCTGGACTCAATTCTTAGTCCAGACTTATTTCAGGAGCATTAATGCTCTTATATTGTTAAATATTTCACCTAATATCCCTGATATCCTGTACACAGTTGTGGAATGCTAATACACAGCAGTAGCACAGATGGAAGGCAAAAGAACAGGAAGATGCAGCATCACAAGGCTCTTTCTATCCTGACAGGCTAGGAAGAGGGGGACTAATCGAGGAAAAGGATATTTTTACAGTAAGGCAGAAAACGGTGAGATTTTGTATAACTTTCTAATGTAAATTACTTTTAGTAACTGATTTTTTAATAACAAATCTGAAATGATTTAAAGTATCTCATCTGCACAACAGAGATCACCTACCTTTTCAATCTCAGACCATTTGTCCAGTACATCACTTGCAAAGTTAAAGTACTTTGGAATTTCTTGTTCACCCCGCCTGACAGACTCATACTGTGAATATAAATCAGAGGCAAGCAACCTTGGGTGATCACGGAAAGCTCTACGATGAAACTTCAAAGAAGACAAGGATTTTAGAGCTTGTAATTTAAAAAATATCTTCATGGCAGCAGAGGATGCACATGCAGATGCTGTACACAATATAAGGAAACTGTTGCTGTGAAACCTGGAACAAAAATAATGAAAAAGAGAAGACAATCATTATCCTGAAATTTTCCACTCAAAGAAAGAAAGATGATCCAGATATGAAAACATTACTTATTAACTGAAGTCACTTAAGCTAAACATGGCAAAGCTGATGTTTCTAACCATTCAATTAAATGGAAAGCTCCCCATCCTGCTTTTCCATATTTTGCACTACCAGCTTTTTAAGGACTTAATCTAGTGAACTGACTGGGTATCTTGTCTGTACCTCAGCAGATCCTCACGGATTCATGATGTGTTCCCTGGAGCTGCTAGTTGTCCACAACTCTCATTCGTCAAACACAAGACCAGATGAGTTGTCTGTAAGAAGTTTACATGTTCTCAGACCAAAACACTAGTAGCTGATTCTCTATTTTACTTCCATCTCACGGAGCTGGAGGAAGTTTTCAAGCCACTACAGTCCAGTTTTTCACTGCTTTAACTTGATCATTGGCCGATTTACCCATTTACTACATATATCCCAAGATCCTATACTTCAGTACTTCCATCACAGGGGTTCCCAAATTTGATGTACACTTCCACATTTGTTCACTGTAAATGCCATCTTCCATCTATACTCACCATACTATTCCTAAACGTTCTAAAGCTCTGTTATTTTCTTTCCCTTCCAATACTACTTCCATTATCTCTTGTTTTTATTTTATTTTTAAAATTTATTTTCAGCAATCTGCAAGCTTGTTTCATTATCTTGCCAAATCAAGATTTTAATGCTACTTAGCACCTTCTGGTAAATGTCCATGAGAATTATAAAGCATGGAACAAAACCCGGTTCCTCTCTGGATGACCATGTGATGAGAGCAGGAGCCAGCACAGTCCTGGAGGCTCCTCTATTGATTTTTTAACCATTAAGTACTAGCAACTAGGATCAATGCAAGGTCGAGTGAGTGACTGGTGATATACAAATTTAATTTTCTCTCCTGTTCCCACAAAGGATGAAGCTATCCTCAAGCTAGGAAAAAAATGACCCTTACAGGTATACTCTTATTTTTTTTCCATGTGGAACGTCTCTGGCATGAGTAAACTTGCAGAGAGAGTTAATTTTGCCCTTTGTCCCTGTCTTTTAAGCTTTGTATTCAGCATTTTACTTACCCTTGTCCTGCATCTTCAACCATAACCGCTTACTCTCACATCTCTGATGTGGTTCATGCCCAAGCCCTTTACCCTGGGACCGACTCCATTCCCCAGGCTCCTGGTGGCACTCTGCCCACAGGAGACCAAGGGCAGCCAGGCTAAACTGGCCAATTCCCCAACGGTGAGAGCCAAGATGACCTCAGGGTTTGCCTTATATAACTGAAATTTTAGTTCATGGCACTGTGATCATTATTTTATCCAGCTTAGCCATTCTACATCACATTTCTGACCTTGTTACTTTTAGGAGACTTCCCCAAATGAAACTCCTGCTGTGGAACAGACCAGATCCTTCACAAACCCGAACGTGCCTTATTTTCTCACACCATCTGTCTGGTTGATACAGGGAATGGATGGCAAATTTGATTAAAACCCAGTGCATATGCCTTCGGATAACTACAGTACATACACTGGAGGGATCATGACACCAGGTATATGACAGCCATGCCATCCACTTTAGAATCAGGTTATAGAGCAGAAAATTAAGAATTTAGATTGTACTTACATTTTAAATCAAAACTCTACTAACAAAGAAGCTGGTGGAACATTAATCTAAAACGGTTTTAATGCTGAAGAGAGGTCTTTTAAATATTCTCCAAAAAATTCTATACCAAAAATGAACGTTGAACTTTTTATGTAATATTCGAACTGAAATATACATTTGTTTCTTCTTAAAGGAAAAAAAAGGTAGACCCAAAGAGGAGATTAAGAATATTCAAGAACAGTACAGAAGACTGGAAACAGTACTCAAGATCCGCAAAAGGAAAACATTCGAAATTCTGTATTCCCCCGGGGGCCACAAAAACATATTTACAACATTGAAGAGAAAGTGCCTTCAAGAGCTTTAACAGTTTTTCACCTCCAAACTTAAAAGTGAAAATGAAATAAGAAAGTTAAGGTAAAAAGCCAGTAATGGCAAAGTCCTTGGAATACTGCAAGAATCAGAAATGAGTATTCCCTATTTAGTACCATCTGCTTCTTCTCAATGACACTGAGACAAACGATACATTTTCCTGACCTGGTTGCTGCGGACAGCACAGACTGAGAGCTGCCGGGGTCCTTCACTGGTTCATTCAGCTTTCAGGATGTGTTTCCCAGAAGTATTGCAGAGACTAGTTTTTGTTTGGAGAGGTGAAATCTGGACACCCAGTCTAAGAGTATTTGTAGAGAAGCTCCTTCTGCTTTATCATTTGCTTCTTTTGAAGTGAGGAGAACAAAACATTGCATGAAACAAACCAAGCATTACAGTATCTTTTCTTGTAATCATTTACACTGCTGTAAAGTGTGTACAGTTTGTACCTTAACCCAAAGCACTTTGTCTCTTTTCTTCTGTTTTAACCATTTAATTAGATTATAAATTCATCAAAGTAGTAGTCTGAAAAATATGTCTTTCTCCTTCCACCCAAAAGGACTTTGAGAATGTTTCAGTGACAGCTTTTGAAGGGAGAATACCACATCATCATTGCTGATACCAATTACAAGACAGAGACTTCTATGATTTCTCATTTAATTTATTTATAATTTTAAAAAAGTTGTAGTTAGGCATTTTTAAAAGAAAGCTATTTATATTAATTCTAGTAAAAAAATGCAAACCCTTATACATTACCAAATCTCATCATTTCTCTCCCTCATTCTTCTTAATTATTTGCATTCCATTCTTTTTGAAAAATTATAAACTGATAGCAAAAGTGGTCCTAAAATTACACATCCTGCTATAGCCATGATGGAATTATTTTTCAACGTATATGAAAGTCATGAGTGTGATCTCCTTTCTTTGATTTTTTGGTAACTTGTTCTCCCATATATTCTCTTAGTACTCTGGGTAATCATAACATGCCAAGTCCAAATGCTGTGCCATAGCTGGTATGGATGGTAGAAATTTCATCCTCATTTTCTGAGTCATGTTATGCTCTTCCCCACTCTTTATTCTTTAGAATCTTCCTCTGAATTTTCCCAGCAACAGTCTTTGGCAGAGCCTGAACGAATTCAATCTGAATGACAAAAATGATCACTTTTAGTCAAATACATTCCAAATAATCTCTGAGATGCAAGGAAAGACCCACATGCCTTATGGCTATATTAGAAAGGTGGGAAGGTGCACAACCTGGGTTGGGACAGGGAAATTTCTTATTTTATATTTCAATCAGACCGCATAGCTAGCTGTAGGGACAAGAACCACAATCCCAAAGAGGTCACTGCTTAAACTGTTGGGACAGGGCATCTTCTCTGATTATAACGGACGGATTCTACACCCTGATGCCAGTAGGAATTTCTCTCCTGGGACTCTGAACAGGACTCAAGAGAGCATTTGGAGAGAAGTGAATGCCCTATCTATTGGAGCCCCTTGAAAATCCTGGCAAAGAAAAATCACATCATCATTTGGGTAATGACCCTTTGGGTTCTTTGTAGTTCATAGAGTGAACCAAAGGCTACAGCTACGGACACATCTTTTACTTATCTTTATTCTATGTAACTATATTTGGAGTGTCTGTAAGAAAATAGTAAACCAAGAAGAGGAGGCAAGACAAAAAAAATTCAATTTCTGGCACAGTTAGAAGACGTGTTTTTATGGTGAAGTGGTGTACCTACCTTTCTTGGGTACTTGTAAGGAGCAGTCACATTTCTGACATGCTGCTGAAGATCACGAATGAGTTGTTCTGGATCATGTGATACAAAAGCAGGAGCCAAAACAACAAAGGCTTTGACTACCTGTGCCACAAAAGTTAAGGTTCTCTGTTACTTCCGGATGTGAGAATAAGCAATGTTTTTATTGCCACAATGCAATATCAAAATCCAGAAATGTGTAAATTGGAGCTTTTTCTTTAGTTCTCTCTACTAGCTGTTTGTCATTGAATGCAATATAAAGAAGGATATACTCTGAATTATGGGAGGGCAATGCTCAGTGTTTTGTTTTTAAGATCTTTCTTCTCTAATTTTAAACACCACTAAACTTTAGAAAGGTTTCAGAATAGAAAAAAAAAATCTGAAAATCTCACTCGAGAGCTCAAATAAATGTAACAAAGTTAAAAAACCTAAGAAAAAAAAAAGATACCCCCTGGATATCATTTCATATGCATATTGTCAAAAAGAGAGAAATAAAAACCTGAATACAATTTCTTGGACAAAAAGATGCCACAATTAATCTTAAAATGCAAATCTTTTTTTCTATATGGAACTTTGCAAACAGGGAAGTAATTCTGAAATTCTAAAATGTCAGGGCATGTTTAAACCTATTTTAATTTCAAAATTTGCAACATTTCAGGTAAGTCTAGTACACATGACACATATCATATTTAGAATAAAATATCATTATTTTAACTTTTTATTTTCTTTTTTACCTCCCCTCGAATTGGATCAGGACTGCTGACAACAGCTGACTCGGAGACTGCAGGGTGTTCTATTAATGCACTTTCAACTTCAAATGGACCAATACGATAGCTATAAGAAAACACAAATATGACAGTAGTAGCAGCCATTCAACTGAACTTTCCCAATTTCATATTGTGAGAAAACAGAACAACATTAACAGGAAAATGAGCAAATTTGAAAGCAACTGACTTACCCAGAGGAATTAATTATATCATCAGATCTTCCAACAAACCAGATATATCCTTCTTCATCCATAATTCCTCTGTCTCCAGTGATGTAAAAGTTTCCACGCACAGTGGCAGCAGTTTTCTCTGGATTATCCTGACAACAGCCAAACAACATTTCAAAATATTTATTTAATTGTTAGTGAAATCTAATTCTCACTTAGTGGTGCTAAAAATGATCAAGACTGTATTTTATAGCTATTCTCAAAACTAGTATATTCAATGCTATCTTATGCACCTTTACCTAAAAAAAAACCAGAACCACATTAATTAGCAGCTTTGCAGTGAAATATGTGAAGGCTGGAAAAGATGTGTATTCATGTTCAAAAGTAAAAAAGGTAGTACTCCATCAGAATGCCCATCTATCACAGCAAATTATTTAAGTGCATTATCTACTCTCTTTACATAAATGACTTATTATTGCAGGAGTCTCCATAATAACCTCCTGTCAGTGGGAACTTTTCACTTCTGACTTTCAAAACTAAAGTAGGTGATCTACAAGAAACACTTCATTAGCTACACTGATCTATCAGGTGCTAGATTGTACAACTCGACAATGGAGGACCTAATGAACAAAAGGGATTTCTTGTTTGTTTCTATTTTTACACAAAATCAATTTGTACCTATTGTGGATTGGGGATACTACACCGACTTAAAATACTGTGCAAGTTCAGAGGAGGATTAAGCACATGGGCAGGTTCCCTAATGGTTATCCAACATGGTGGCTCAAGTGCAACAGATAAGAATATTTTTATAGTTGCCTGGTTCTATTTTTTCTTCCTTAAGGAAACTTAAGGTCCTTAACTTAAGGAAACAAAGGTCCACTGACCTTTGAGCTGAACCAGAACAGCCATTCTTCTGACACATTTCTTCTAGCCTGTTCCACATTCAGACTATTTGAATAGTCATTTTAGGTTATATATGCCACTACTGTAAAGCCAGTAGATTATCTAGATTTGAGGGTTTTGTGCTGTAGCTTGTTTTTGTATTGTACATACTGTGCACATCATCTATGAGATGTGTGATCACACAAAGACCTGCTCTAAAACCAGAGATATTGAAATGTGCAACTTTTAAAGATTTAGAAGATCAGTTTGTGCCCAAAAGTTTGTGATTCTCAATGCTTCAGAGTTGTATGAGGGGGAAAAAAAAAGGATGCTGCTTCTGCTTTTCTGAGTATTTCTCTGAGCTCACAGTGTATTACAGCAGCCTTTATGGGGTTACTTCGTTTACCCCTATTCAAAAACAGGAATGGAATTGCTGGGGAGTGATGCACTGAACATAAAGCCATCCTACCTGTGCCAGGTACAGATCTGAAACAAGACATCTCCTGGTTCATGGTGGACCTTAGAGTTACAGCAGACAGACCGTCTGCTCTTGAAATAACAGCACAATGTTCTGTCCGGGCTCAAAGAGCCCAAGGAACCTAGTGAGACTCTGTGAACATGCTGAAAGAAATCCTGCTTGATAAGGATTCAGCAAAGTCAACAGAGCTTTGCACTAGGTCTCCCTTGAGATTCTCAAGAGGCACAGCCAAGCCAACTCAAACTTACCAGGTACTGAGAGAACAGGCAGAATGGTCGCCTAGGTTGGATTCGGATAGCAATGTCACCTTCTTCTCCTGCAGGGAGAATAGCCCCGTGGTCATCTACAATCTGCAGAAAGGACATATCACTACTATGATTATTGCTTGGATTAGCTCAGGAAGGGCCCTCTCTTACTCATACACCTACAACTGCAACTGAACTCAAAGATGTAATGTAGTGACATACCTGCACATCATAAGGGGGCAAGGCTTTTCCCAAAGAGCCAGGTTTAATTTTCATTCCTTTCACATTGGCACATATTGTTACCTGCATAATAAATGGCAATCTCTTTATTTATGCACCATCTTGTAAACTTTATCCTTGGTGTCGACTAGGCAAAGCAATTGCTCATGTCATGGTCCAACTGTGTCATGACAAGGACTAGATTTGGAGGTGAGAGAATACTTTAAATCTGACTTTTGGTAGCTCTGTTATGTTCAGTTACAGAGAAGTCTTGGATATGAGCTGATTTAATATTCATATTAGAACCTCTAATATAGAAAGATGCTGAAGGAATTTGCTATCAGGAATTTGCTATAAGTTATTTAATCAGAATTTGTATACAGTTTGTGCAGGGAGCTGAATTCTGTAGTCATAATATTTCCTATAAACCTTAAAAATGCAACTGGCTGATTTTGGAACTATATATAATAGGCTAATTTCAAAAATTGATGTAAATGATTCTCACCTTTTCCATTGATTTATCAAGCACTTTTTGTCTTTAGTATTGTTACCTTTGAAAGGGCTTATTGCAGGAATGAATACAAACATACTGTCTCAGTCTGGCCATAACCTTCATGGATATTCAGGCCTGTTTGGGTTTTCCACTGCTTTATCACTTCAGGATTGAGTGGTTCCCCTCCAGATACACAGTGTTTCAGACTCATAAACTTGTAGCTTAAGAGGCATAGAAAACAATGGTAATTTTCTTAACTTCTGTAACGCAGACTCTCTCAATTGTCAAAGGGTATTGGTTGCCTACAACTTCACAAGCTACTTTGGAAGTAACAATAATCATCCTGTTACACAGTCCTGGATTATGCTCCTAGGTTGCTCATGCTACCACCAAGGGCAGGGTTGTTAATCGCTGGAGAAGCCTGGGCCAGGAAGTATAACATATTTTGTTGTAAACAGAGTCTTTTATTGGAAGAGATGACAAAAAAGTAGAGATTTGGACAAGCACATCAGATGCTGTAGAAAGCATTCTTTATGTGGCTACATGCCAACATCCAAGATTAAATAAGAAAACAAGAATTTTGTAGCAAAAAAGGAAGGGTGAAGGATCTGATAGCAGCAACATAGAGCCTGGGCTCAATACTAAAACAAGGTTCGTTTGTATCTAGGTGAAAGACTTGTGTGAGAATAAGTAGGACATTACTGAAGATATGAAAACTGCTTGCAAATCATTTTGAGCATTTCTCCTGAGCTGAATATTTTATAGCGCAACAAGTGAGTGGGAACAGCCGCTAAATGGCTCTCAGCATGTGAAAAACCTGTAACAGTTCCACTGTACTCCAGTAATTCCCTGATCCAGTGATGCCTGAAGCCATTCCTAACTTGAAATAGCTGTGAACCTTAGTTCAGACAAAGTGAAACTTTAAAAAACTCATTTATTTCCATTTACTGTCTTTTCAAAGACTCATTCTTGAAGACTGAATGGCCTAAGGAATTATTCACACATTTCAGAATGCAGTCTTTGCCTTTGAGAGCAAATTTTTCTAATTAGCTTTCTCCTAAGGGTTGAAAAAAATACAGCAACATAAGGAACAAAAGATTCACAGCTGTCCCAGCATCATATCTCAGCCTCTCTGCTACCCCTGCAGTAGGCAGATGTGCAGTACCTGCTCAAACCGTGTTGCACCAGCATGCGGTAGGCCGTGGGGGCTGTGCAAAAGGTGGTGATGGGGTATCTTGAGAGAGTCTAGAAAACGAGAAAGTGGTTGAAAGGAAAAGGCATCTTGCAAACATGCAGGTAATTAACATGATTCAAATATTTCCAAAATGAAACCCGTAAAAATGCAACATGCATTCAATATTCACAGAGAATGACTGTGTTAATGAGAGATCCTGACTGTGTAGTGGTTCTATCAGTCAGTCCTGCTGCTATAGAAAAAACAAACAAACCCCAACACTTTCCCTCCACAAACACGACTCATGAAGATGTACGACTACTGAGTGGTCACAGTGGTTCCTGGGGCAACTATGCCACAGACTCAATGCTAAGTGACAGCAGTGAACTAGAAATAAGCTTTTCCAGTTTTACTGGAAATATCTGGTTTCCCTCTCTACAGAAGAGATGGATGCTGAGGAGGACAGGGCAGCCGACTGGTTTTGAAAACCAAAAGACAGAAGGAACACACATGCTGGCAACTCATGGAAAATTCAGGTTAATAGGGCCCCAGTGCAGGTCTGTGTCACACACTGAGTACTGACCCACGTGCACATGAGCCCAAGCAGGCTGGCAGTTCCAGTACTCGGACTGAGCTCTAGGCTGAGTATAGGATAGGCCAGCAGTAACCTTGAGCTCACTCAACCCTTCATCTTTCATAATCTCCCCCGCTTTGTAGCAGTGTCACACAGCCTAACCAGGAGGGAAATCACTTGTTCCTTTAGTCTGTTAGGCTTTAAAGGAAGGGAAAAGCACTTTAAAAGAAAGATATAGAAAGTACCATGAATGAAGCTACAAACAGCAGTGGATACATATGCATTGGAGTCCAGTTAGATGCTTCAGTTATGCAAAACGGAAATAAAACTCAACAGGATGAAATGTTATGCTTACATCTGCGACGATTTCTGGTTTAAACTGAGGCATATGGTGTATAAAGACACATGATCCGTTCATCCATGGAGCAAAAACACTGCTCCACGCTGACTTTACCCAACCTGTGTCAGAAGTATTCCACATTATATCTGAGGGAGTCAAGTCCATCCAGTACCTGATAGAGCAGAGGGGAGAAGACATTCAGACAGTGAGAGAGATCTGAGCACAGGTCACAGTATAATTAAAGGAAAGTACAGGAGCCTTTCCTTAGAAGATATGGTGTCAGCAAACAAGGTCTTTACAAAGTCCAAAGTTCACAAGAGTTAAAGGGAATCTTAAACATTTTCTCATTTCCCTTCACAACCTCCTATTTAACACTTTCAATGTTTGCTTTACTTCTGAGTACTGCAAAACATCCATGGTTGGTATTACAGAATCTGCTTCCATTTCAAAAACTGAACATACCATGGGGGTAGGATTTCCCTACCTTGCAGACTATGAGGAACAGCTAAATCACAACTTATATCTCTAAGAAACTAACTAAATTACTTCTGTTGATTCCATACTACTAAGCTTCAAATCAAAATGCCTTGGGAAATATATTTTCGGTTTTCATGATACGTCTCACTCCTTGGGAAGCACAAATCAGAGGAAAGGATATTCAGTGAAGGCAAAGCAATGCTAAGCCATAGATTGGATTCTATGAACTATGACTTTTAACAGATAAGGCTATGGTCCAAGGGGCTTTAGTTTTACAGAAATGTCCATGTAATAACGAAGATTTCAACTTTGTCTGGTTTTGCTACAGGTGGACTAATCCAACCGCTACTCTTCAGTCAGCCCTGTGAGCAATGGAACGACTGCTATGGCTGATACCTCAACAGCATCTATAAAAGCTTTTAGCAACCAATGTTTTTCAGAGAGGGGAAAGGTGAGGAAAAAATAAGATCCTGCACTCATGAAATATCTGCACTTATGGGAGTTTTTACTGTCACATTTTCATTTCATTGTGATCATGTCAATCAGGACACTGAGAGCAACTGTAAGTTATACCTGCCACTGACAGTAAATCCAATGCCATAACTGCTGTGCGACTGCACCACCATTTTTGGAGAGCCGGTACTCCCACTAGTAAAATAGATCAGCATTGGGTCTTGACTCCTTGTCTTGACACATTTATGGTTAGCAGATGTTACCCTTCAGAAGAGAAAGTATATGACAGTTACTATTTGAACATTTTCAGAAAGGAAGCACCATTTTTTGAGGTTTAGAAGATATAAAGAAAAATATTTGGTCCGAAATTATTTAGGTGCACAAAATTATGTAAATTCAAGTGATTTATGAGCAATCAAGACTGTCTGGGCTACCGAAATAATTAACACCCTATTAGCTGGGCACCAAGATTCAGCAATGGGTATCTATCTTCTGCATTAGGCTGCACTCTAGAAGACAGGCACAGAATGGCTGCTTGCAAGATTAGTACTCCGTGCACGTGCTTTGTGATCACAGTAGAAGCACTGAGATTTCAGAAGGTAACAGGCTGCTGAATAAGAAAAAGCTGGCAGACCCTGAACCTAGCTACGCTAAAGCGTGTTTGAAGGACTTGTAGTTAATATAGTGCTGACAATGAGTTGGCAGAGGGATGCAAAAGTTTCACTCATCTGTATTCTGGAAATGATCCCCAAAATAGAGGATTCCTCCAGAACTTAGTGATGTCACTTGATTGATACAGCATCTTTCATCTCACAGGGATGCTATTAAGACAGCTGATACTCACGCAAGGAGTTCTTTGAAGTTCAGCCACCCATCTCTGCTGTTTTTGGATACAATTAGTTTGCTTTTCAGAGACTGGCAGTCAGGCATGACAGATTCCACTGCAGGTGCCAGAGCATCACTGGTAACGATGCACTTGGCCTTTGAGGCCTGTAGTCGGTATAAAATGTCTTTGGCTGTTAATTGGGATGTTCCTGGAATGCAGACAATTCCTGGGAAAAAAGAAAAAGAAAAGAAGCAATTTAGAAAAATGACGATTCCTCCACTACGTTCATATGAGATGAACCCAGCCATACAAAAGTTGAGTTACCTGCCAAGAACTTATTTCTTGAAAAAGAGAAGTCATGTACGAAGGTAGAACTTGGGTAAATCTGAAGCCAAGGAATGACCTGGGACAGACCCAACTTTCCAAATCTTAGTAAATATTGAAAGCCCACAAAATCTGCACCACTAATACTGTAGTTTGTCTCAACCATATTAAAAATATCTGCATCATCAGTAAGATTTAGATTTGAAGTGTTTTGCAGAACCTTCTTTATGATTCAAAACTCAGGAAGTCAGTAGTGAGATAATTATCTACTTAATTACTGAGTACATGAATGAGGTCAACATTTGGATTATATTTACATTTGGGATAAAGCTATTGTTCATTTTATTAGTGCTGTTCTAAATTATTATTTCAATCATCCTACACCTTCAGGGGTACCTATCAAGTTCTACAATTAGAAGTATGAGGCACTGAGATTCTGAGTAACAGGCCCGAGTCATGATGCAGGAAATCTTGGACAGATCAACAGAATGAAGATGTCCTCAGTCTCAGTTCTGTCCGTAACCTGCAAGAACCACAGAGCTGGTACACGGGACAAAATCGACAGAATCACCTGGCCATGTCCCTCTTGAATTGTGGAATTGTTCCAGGAAATTTGTTCCAGCAAATATTTTGTTCAATCTAATTTCTACCAAAAATTCAACACAGTCAAATCCTCCTAACGTTTTCTTTCTGTTCAGGACATCAGTAAGGTTACTCACCTGTTCGCATACAGGCTATATTCAGCAGCCACCATTCAGGGACCCGAGGGAGAACTACTAAAACTTTGTCTCCTTTCTGCAAACCACATGCTTCAGAGAGTATATTAGCTGCCTTGCTGGACAGAAATCCTAGTTCTTCAAAGCTCCACTTCACCTCCTCTCCTTCATCCTTTACCCACCAAAAAGCTGGATTTGCTGGTCTTCTCCCATCCTAAAATATAAGATTAAAGGCAAATTAAAATAGAAAGTCAAACTTTAAAATGTTTAATACAACCCAAAACTAATTTCATCCTTTTCATCCTTATCAGGTAGTTATGCAGGTGACACCTGCATGTATAACAAAAAAAAAAAAATTCTACTCTGCAGTTAATGCTATGCAGTATCCACCAGCAAAAGCGATTTATATAATCTGAGATTTCCAGGAAGCAAAACAAACTACCTTTTCCAGCTGTGCCCATTTATCCAAGACATCACTTGCAAAGTTGAAATATTCTGGTAGTTCCCTTTCACACTGGTTTATAGAATCGTAATATGAAATAAGTGGAGATGCAAGAAGCCTGTTGTATCTGTGCAATAATCTGCAAGGTGACCTGAGAATCCGCAAGCACTGAGGAATCCATAATTTAACAAATGTTCTCATGATAAATGTTTTAACAAGCAGTAGGAAAAAGATCAGATGAAGACTTACAGGGATCAGTCACCTGAAAAAAAATAAACAAACAAAACATTTAAAAACTGTTCAGTTTTGGAAGCTGTCGAGTTTGTAATGTTGGATGAATTAATGCAAACCAACTTGAATAAACAGGTTGTTTTTGTCTCTCCCACTTCTCCACATGCTTTTATGCAACTTTTAAGAGTTCTGCCTCTCTTGGTAAAAAGATTGTAAACTTTTTTCCTGCATTATAATCTTTGTTGTCCAGTTTATCAGATGATGGATGCATCTTATCTCTAAGATTTCACTTGTGAGCCTGTCCCTAAATATATAGCTCTTGATTCCTGTAAGTTTTATCTTTTACTTAAACTGCTGAAAAAATAGTAATCGAATGACACATTACCATTACTCAGAAAGTGCACTGAGCTCAGGATACTTTGTTTACCACATTGATTTTAAATGATCCATGTAATTATACTATCCATGTAATTATGCTATGTCTCAAATATACACTAGATGGCGATTCACCACACCATACACATACTGATGAATTCAGTTATTTACTTCCGTAAGAGTTCTGTTTTTATTGGAGCATGAAATTAATACAAATTTTTATTTTGGAGGCCACTATATGATGACTTAAGAGGTTTTGTAGCGCTCTTTCAGTTTAGCTGTTTTTACATGAGTTTTTCACAAGCTCCTAATTTCCTCACCCTTAAAACAATCATTGTAGCAAAGATGATGTAACATAAAGCAAGTGAAGGTGAAATTTGGAAGACTTTCATTTGCTTTTCATTTCAGCAGAGGTGTGCAACTTTGAAAAAGCTGTGCGTTGTAAAACACACTTGCAAAGAAAATTCTACCATTTCCAGTCTCTCCTGGTCTTGCCTACACAAAATACAGGAAGAAAAGGTAGATGCTACTAGAGTTATTTAAAGTAGCACTCCAGAAGTCAAGAAAATCAGGTCTTCACTCCTAGATCCAGAATCTACTCTGGTGCGAGTCTAAAACCTGGAGGATCTATACTTTGTTAAATCCACGGGAACTTTTTCCTCGATGGAGCCAGCTTTTAAATCTTCCTGGGCCTTCTCCCTGTTTTGTAGGCAACAGTACGTACGCATCTCACAGGGATGCTATGCAGTCACTTTGACCTTTATGTTATGTATTTCAAGTGTAGCTGGAGAGTGGCAGCCCAAAATGTTCAAATAAATAGTAAGAATTACCATTCTCCAAAATCTCTGTTTGTGAAGCAAATCAGAAATGGAAACGGAATTTGCTCACATAGGAAACACGTTCCATTAGCTTTCAACCACAAAACAACTTTTGGGGTGTGAATGGCCACAAAGCAGAAGGACCAACCCTAACACTTATACTGCCGGATCCCAGGAAGTTTGCGGAAGGCTGATTTTCCACAGCTCTCTCGAACTGCAAAGCCTAAAATGAGCACCAGATCTAGTTAGCACTGAAGATGAAACATGCAGAAATGGTGACCTAATTTTCTGTATGCCTAGGACAAAATACTATACTCCTAAAGTTTCAATTTTCCATTCAGTTTTGCAGTATTGTACCTCAATTCCTCGTTGGAAACAGGTCCCAGGAGAAGGACTATAGAAGAATACAGAAGGTCACAAAAGCAGGTTCTCTAATTAAAGAGCATTATGAATCAACACTCATGCTTCTCTGACCAAGTATTTCTTTGTGTGTTTTCTCACCTTCTCTCCACATAATCTGGTTATTTACAGGCACAGTAAGAACCCACCTTCTCCACTGAAACTGTTTTTCCAAACACTAGTTAAATACTTTCTCAATTATAGCACATTAATCTTCTGGTAAGAAGGTACATTTGGCTCTACTAGTGGTAGACTCTGTTATCAGTCTTATCAACCTCAGTCTGGCTGATACAGCAACAGCCATTTGAGCAGCAAACACTGCCACTTCGTGCTCCTTTCCTTCTTTTTCAGCACAAAGAAAGGCAGGATGAAGACACATCAGTTTTTCTTTCTGGCACTGCTGTTTCTCACAGCTTTCCCGGCAACAAACAGCATAAGTCCAAATGAAGCGAAGACAAAAAAAGCCAAACTCCCCAAAATCAAAAAGGAGAACAACGTCCTCTTGCTGAAAAAGAACAACTTTGACCAAGCATTGAATGAAACGAAGTATCTGCTGGTGGAGTTCTGTGAGTACCCATTTCACACCTGCTTCTTACCCTGATGGCTCTGCAGAGAGTGACTAATGCAGGGGCACCAACATATGGTCATTCCACTGTTGCTCTGTCCCTGCAGTAGCCCTTGTTGCTTTGTACTAATTTATGACTAGAACTACAATCATTTATTCTTTTCTTGGGGTGGCTAAATACCAGTCTGCTATAAAAGTGCTATTGGTCTTATGGGATGGGTCCATACATATGCACAGTCCTGACCCTGCACTCTCTCCTTCCACCACAGCCTAATTTTGCAAGCATATGTTTTGCAGCAGTAATTGGTGAAACTAATTACTCAAAAATCAGCGAGGTTTTTTTTCTGTGCTGTGGTGCTTTTATGCTGTAAGTTTTTGCTGTATTATATCTCTCCTCTATAGATCTTTGGGCTTCAGAAAATGGCTCTTTAAAACATTCTGGTGTCTGCAATTTCATTGCACAGGACTGCAAGAGTTTCTCTGCAATTAGCATGCAGGTGAAGGCATTTTTCTATTAATTTCATGTACTACATGAGGGGAGAAAACAAGGGGGGCATTTTGGTTAACTGACTTTATTAGTTAGAAGGCCTGGCCATCAGAACTACACCTCTGAGCCTTGCAACAAAAAAAAGCGTCAGAAGCAAATGCCAAAAGCTATGCTCTTGTGATGTTACTCAACTAGAAGTTCAGATTCTGCATCATTTCTCACTCCACAAACATGCACCTGCATTTTGTGGCGCTTGGCTGGCAGCAGAGAACCCCAGAGCAAAACAGCTTGCAGGGGCTGCAGGCTGCATTTTGTGCCCTCTCCCAGCCCGAGGCTGCTGTTCCATGCACGTGTAATGCCACAAAACGGGAGCTGCCACCATGGCACCAGAGCACGCTGGACTCCTGAATTGGATAACCAGGATAATAATATTATTCTGGTTATTCAGGATAACATTAGTTATCCCCTGGTTTAGCTCCAAAAAAGGAATGCCTGGTCTGGGTGGGAGAGCTATGCCTCCAGGTGCAGTGAGAGCTGGCTGCTAGACTGGCTTAGCTGCACTACAAAGCACACCACAGTCCCTTTAACCTGGCAAAAATCCCCCTTGCCTCTGAAAAGAGCAATTGGGCACCCCAAATAGTTCTCCAAGTCGCATATTCCCATTCCCACACAAAGCAGCAGCTGGAGCGACAGGGCACAAGGAGAACCTGGCACCAAGGCATGATTTTCTGATAAAAGGAGGATGGCTGAGTTCAAAAGCCCTTCTAAGTTTCTTTGCCAGTGGCCCTAGTTGTAACAAGCCCACATATGATCTCTGTGCAGCTCATTAGAGAACAAACGTTGCTTTAGAGCACATTTCCCAGCCACCAGCACCGCTGGAGGAGAATTCAGCTGCTGGGGAACTGTTTTCCAGCAACATATTTTAAAGATGTGACAAATACTGATGCTGTGAACACTCACTGCGCAAGGCTTTACCTGGGATCCGAAGAGGCCTTTCCATTAGTCTCCACTTGTCGCTGCACAGAACATCACACGGTCTCACTGCAGTGAGATGGGGTGGCTCTGGTTACAGTGTCCTCCTGCAGTCCCTCCCTCACAGCACTGCGAGGTGCAGGATGTCAAGGGGGTTTATGTAGCACCCCCCTTCACAGTGTCCTAGTTTTGCACTGAAATCCTCCATTTCCCAGAGCTTTTTCTCTCCTTTTCTGTTACCTACCAGGAGCCTGGTCTCTTGGGGCAATGCTCACTCTATCCCTTCTCCAGACGATCACTTAAGTTCACGCTGAGCTTGAATGGATGTGCCTATGATTTCATGCATATATGTGCTTTATGGTTAGTGCTTTGCTAGATCATGAGCGACTACTCAGCCCATAGCAGGACTGAGGTCAGAATGCACAGAAACTTCATGCTTCACATTAGATACCATGCACTGACATCAGTGAGGAGAGAGGGTACAGCAGCAGAGATAAGACAGTCCTGTAGGAGACAGCAGTGCAACTAAAAAGTGATGGAAATTTCCAGGAAGAGCAATTTCTACCAAGCAAGAAAGGATAGCCCTTAAGGCAAAAGCATTTTCTGAAATAGGTTTGTTATAGACGTGTCGAAGGATTAGAGGCAATAGACTCTTTCACTCACACAGCTCCACAAACACCCTGGCTCTGTTCCCTGGGCCGGACCTTGATCTGCCACCCAAGCGCCAGGCTGGCCGTGCACACACCCGCCGCGCTCTGCATCCCGCTTCTCAGCCTCACGTTTTGCAAACACTTGTCAAAATAGCACTCGTTTGAGTGCTACTCATTAGAGAGACACAAGCTGAAAATCCCAAATCTGTCCTGAATTTCAAAGGGATATTTGAAACAAAGGCAATAACCTAACTTAGCAGAAGTGGGTGTAGTTTTTTCTTTTGCCTCCTTACCAAACCTGACAACAGGAACAACAACTATAAAGGTAGGTCAATCTGAAAATGCTTGTATTTTTTCAATTAAAAAAAAAATCATTTATCTTGAAACAATTTCACGAAGTTTTAAATATTTTTAAACTTTTAGAACAATCATTTTGGAAATTTCTTTAAATGTTGCTTAAAAATACTTGAAAGTGTTGGGATTAAACAAGACTTTAATTTGTAAGAGACCAAGTTATTCGTCAAATTCAGCCTGCACTTGTGGATTGTTTCAATCCCTCTGAAGAGGAACTATTTTGGTGAAAAATAATTTACCAGGAAAACTCTAGGAACATCTGAGAGAGCTGATTCAAACCACAGACCCCAGGACTAAGAGAAATTTGTAGCCAGGCTACACTGGCAGAATTAATCAACAATTCCACCCTGCGGAAAATCATGAAATCACCCATAAGCCCAGATACATCACCTGGAAACCACCAGTCTCATTCTCAGAAGTGCCCGTTGGAGTCATGCCACCAAGGAGCCACTGGAGCAGGGAGAGACCACCCTGCACTGCAGTGAGGAGGAAGCTCAGTGCTCAATGAGCTGCTGCATTTGCTGGAATCGTTTGCATTGCCACAGCACAGAAAGGCTAAAGACAAGATGGGGACATGCACTTGCACACAGAGCACGTAAAATATTAGGACATAAAATGTTTTATGTCCTGCTCTTCAAAACAGGCTATGTAAATAAACCATTCACGAAATTAAGAGAACTGAGATAACAAGAGATAAAGCAATATACCCCAGATCACATAGGAAATCTGTGGGGCTGCCAGGAATAAGTTTCAGAAATTAAGAATTAATGCAAGACCTGAGACCCTTCTCTTCTTGACCTCTGCTCAGTTACAGAAGGACAAAGAAGGGAAAGGAATCAAGCATCTCCCAGAATGTGGGGTTTGTTCTGGTGCTGTACCAAGAAGAAAAAAAGTTTGGGCTGCAAACTTTGAATCAGTGCTCTAGGAACTGCCTGAGACCCATTGGTTGGGAGAAAACCCCATCCCTGTTGTATATTGTTGCCCACTTACCAGTCCCACAACATGCACCAGGTGGAGCCTGCTTTGATCCTTCTGTCCAGGGACTCTCAAGTCCTCCTAACGCCCTTCGGCAGCACCACTGCTATAGCCCAGGTCTGCTTGCACACAGTGTTTACTGTAAAAAGATATGCTGATTTCTGCCAAGCACCATGTAGCTACGCTAGCAAGCTGAGCAAAGTACACAGGGTGAAGTTTCAACAACCCACAGATCTGGCTCCCTCCTACCCTCATCGAGTTACTTTCTGTAGCAGGGAAATAACCAAAGTTCCAGCTTCCCTGTTTTTTGCGGGGACGGAACAGAGACCACCACCTGAAAGCCATGCAAACACCACTCAGCAATGTGCTGGCTTTCCAGAGGACACGGCTGTGCTGCCTGCCTCGCTGACACGTGCCCTGTACGTGCTCCTGGCACCTGATTGTAGAGCTCACACTTCTGCTGCCTGCTCTGTGGCATCTCTCTCCATTTTAAACAGGTCAAAATATCACTCAGCTACCCACTAACACAGGGAAAATAGAATGCTTATCACCACAGAAAGTAGACTTTACATTGGTGTTGTTTTATAGCAGAATTCTACTATTTACACCATGCATTTTTGATTGACCTTAATTGCAGAACAGGTGCTGCTTCTTAGCTTAGCTTGCACATCTTGGAAAGTAAAATTAAATAAAATATTCCAAGCACTTGAAAATAAGTCACCATCAGGAGGATAAACTGTATCCACAAATATACTTATAAATACATCACACCACTAAAACTGCAAACACTTCCAGTTGTGCATTAGCTTTTTGCATTCCAATTTTCCCAGGTAGAAGAGGAGCGGGACAACTACTGGGATTAAGCTGTGTGAAAAGCAGGAGACCACATCTCCAAATTCACTTCTTCCCATGGCAGGAGGAAAGTCTTCCCTAAATCTTTGTCATTTTTTATTGGTTTTCACATTTTTTACTGGTTTCACATTTTAATGATTCTCACAAGACTGCGCATCTGTGCCATATTTCTCCATGCAACACCAGCCCTCAGTTCCTCCGAGCAGCCTGATGAGTAGCACTCATGTCCAAGGCCTTCCCAAGAGGCAGGGACAGCCCTCACAACATGCTGACTGCCCCCAAAGTAAAATGCAGTGACCACAAGGTGACCGAGAGGAGACAGGGTAAATGTATTCAACTACACTGTTTATGCAAAGCAGCAGGTACCAAACTGCTCTTTATGTCCACTGGCAAGTCAGTGGGTCTGAACACAGCACAGCCACGTTATGGTCAGGGATAGAAACCACTTTCAGGCTGAAGGAGAAGAATGGAGAATGCCCAGGGAGGCTTTGATGTCTGTATTCGTAGTAATATTTAAAGCCAGATGAGTCAAACAGCTGTTAAGAATGGGTTAGAAATGGCTAAGCTTGCGTTAGGTCAGGCCAATGACCTCTCAAAGCCCTGTCCAGCTCCAGCTCTGTAATCCTTTAACCTGCTTCCTGCTACTTTGGAACCCGCACTGGCTGTCAAGCCCGTTGCTGCCGCTTAGAAGTGGCCAGGAGAGGGCACAGATACTAACTTATGTTCGACTCCCCAGATCTATAGGTGTTATCAGCTCTGGTCCCCTTCACTGAGAAGTCTTTAGATCCTGGGTACACATGGGGAAGAATCTAAGGACATAAACATGCAGGCTGTGCAGACCTCGGGCTGCTGCTTTGTATTCCAGGCATGCTCACCTTTATATAAAGTGATGTTGGTCTGCTCTTGCACAAGGTCTGGGCATCCAGGGAGGCTCTGGGTCCACCGAAGCGTTCCTGCAGTCTGTGACTGACAATCCACGCTGAGAAAACGACATTTAACAGACAAGATGGGTTACTCTTAAAGACAAACATGGCCTTTTCAAGGCACAAACCTGAAGGTGATGTTACCGAAAGAGCAGAAACTGTTGTCCAAATAAGTAGCTCATAAAAACGGTGACTTTTAGGGAGCAGGGGGAGCACAACTGATTTTAAATCTACACGTAAACCAGACTGTTTGTGATCACGACACCAATATCCAAACATAGTCCTGTCCTAGGAACTGATTTCAACATACAGCTGTCTCCTCTCCATGCCTGGCTAGTCTGGGTGAATGCAAACAGTTCAAAACCATCCACAGCAGGATCTGCTCCTCACAACTACATTTCTTACAGGAACCTAATGCAGTGTGAACACAATGAGATGCAGGTGTTTCACTTCTGTAGGCTTCCTTGGCAATCCTTAACATGTTAGTCCTTAGGAGTAAATCTCCTGAAAAAGAATCAGTGTGGTAAACACGTATACTAAAAATGAGCAGGAGAGTGGAAACACATGTCTGGGAAGGTACAAGAGTCAGTGGCTGATGCTGCAGTTGCCTGCAACAGAGACAAGGTGCATATGCCATTTAGGTAGGTGTCTCTTACACATGCTTATTTTATTGAATACTTTGAATAAGGCGCCAAACTGTAGAATAATTCTCAGTATTTGCAGAGCGGAAGATCTTAAAGTAAACTGCAAACACTAGATTAACTCAGTTTAAAAGTAGAGAGGTTGACACAGGAGATTATGGGCTGTATTTGGCACTGGGAAAGGGACTGGGAGCTCATTCAAGGTCACATTAGAAAGTTTGCAACTGAAGCGAGATTAACATCCAGCTTTTCTGAATTCCACTATAACATGTTAAACACAAAACTGTCCTTCCATTCAAGAGCCCTCCACAGAGAAAATTATATATCTGTAGAGAAACTGTAAAAGCAGCCTACGCAGTGAAAGATGAAAATTGGTTCTGCTGAAATTATTCCCTGGCCATGCCAAAACCTAACAGCTAGGAAATTGGCATTTAGTGTGACAACAGGCAGACTCAATGCTTGCAGGAAGCACTAGCCCAACAATACAGGCTGAAGGATGAAACTGTAGGCCAACAGCAAATAACCATCCTGTCATACTTTTGTGTACATGTACTTGAAGAATGCTTTAGGGCTGTTAAACACAGTCATGTATTAGTAAAAGTCAGCTCTTCCCACACTTCAATGTATTTTAGTTTAGTAAGTTGCACTATGAAGAAACAGCAGCAGCTTATGCAGCTTATTAGTGAGTTCTAAAGAAATAGTCCCCCAAACTGTAAGATTTCTGATTCTTTTCCTGCTATGACTTGGTTTCTAAGGTTGAGGGAATGATATCTGACGATAGCGCTTGGATCTTGATCTTTGTGCAGTCAAGCTTGATGATATCTGACGATAGCGCTTGTAGAGCTACAAGCGCTTGTGGATCTTGATCTTTGTGCAGTCAAGCTCTAAGTTCTTCAAAGCAGCAGGGCTTGTTTCTCACAGATATTTTACACTGCCTAGAACAAGAGTACTAGTAGTTTGAGCTATAAAACCTACTGTTTTTGACAGTTTGATTAAAAATCTGTATTTTCTTTCAGCTCATCGGGCTTTGCTTTGAATGTGTATGTGATTTGATATTAATTAGGTTCTCTAGTTGTTCATGGAAAACAAAACTGACAAAATTTGAGTTGCTGACGTATGACACCAGCAGAATATAAAAAGGGTGTTTAAACTCTCAGATACGCAAGCTTTCCCACACACCAGGAAATAGAAAATGTGGCAGCCCTCCCACCTCATCTCTCCTTTGCGGAATGAGGGTGTATCTAAGATTTGCTCTGCATGATCATTAGAGGGAGGTGTTCACGCAGCAGTGCCTAAAATAAGAGAAATTTCAGAAATCAAGAGAGATGGTGAAAAGCACAACCAGAATTCTTCAGTGTGGGGCTTCCCCTTACAAAGGCAACATGCCAATACTTGCTGTCAGTGGCTATAGAAATGGTACTTGAGGCAGGACCTTCCCACCTGCCCTTTTTTTTTTTTTTTTTTTTTTTTTCTTTTAAATGACTGTTTGCAGATCAATTTTTATCAAACAAACAAAAACAAAAAACAAACAAACAAAAAAAAACAATGACAATTTAAGAGGATACTCACAGGCCTTTTTAACTCCATAGTTTCATGGCCCTTTCTTCCCATATCTGAGGCAAGGGCCTCGAGATTTTCTCAGGTGCTGGAAAATTTATCTTCTGTGCCTATGCTCAAACCCTCTCCACCTGCTGACAAAATGCTTCTTGGGGGGTTCATGTCTGTTTTCCAAAGGCCACCTCACAAAACTGCAGTGACACATAGTGCTAGTGAATTTAATGCTGTTTGCAAGAGAAGGGTCAAAAGCACTATCTAGAAAAAAAAAAGAGAGAAAAAAAAAACATGCCTTAAGTTATCCTCTATCTATTTACAAGTAAAATAAAACTACTGATAATTAAGACATTTTCCTACTATTAAATACAATACCATTCCTAAACTGACAGCATTTTGAGGGCCTCAGCCAGCTGTGGCACAGCACAAGTGTGTGTGTGTGAAGGAGGGGGGCTGTGTAAAGGTGTCCCATACCCAGACGTGTCCGCCCTGGTTTCCATTTCATAATTACCAGGTTTAATGGCGCTTGGATTTCTCCTTGTCTCCAAGGGCAGTCACTACCTTTTGGAAGGAGGTATTCCTTTCTCCCAGCTTCAAACCAGGGGGAGGACTGCATCCACAAATGCTAACTCTAAATATCTAAGCAGGCAAGTTGTGCTTCATACCTGCAACTCGGCCCCTTCAGGACATTCAGGAGTGAGAGATCATTCTTAAAACAAACTATTTATTTGGAATTAAAATATTTCAGAGGGAAACAGATCTTAAGAATATCAGCCAATCAACAGAAAAAAGTAAAAAGTAAAGATAGTTTCTCAGTTTTATTAGAGTCATAAACTTACTCAAGCCTTCCAGCTATTACCTGACACAACAATTTCCACTAAGAAACTCCACATTGCAGACTATGTAACTCATTCTCTCCTGGTTGATCCTTTTCAGATGTTTCTTTATCTCAACTATCTCAAAATTTGTCCGAAGAATTTACTGAAGCTGCCCGACAGCTTAGAAAAGAAGCTCCAAGAATCCAGTTTGGCAAAATCGATGTCACAGATCAACATGATTTGAGGAAAGAATTTAACATCCAGCAGTTTCCTACTGTGAAGCTTTTTGTGGATGGCAGCAGGAAAGACCCCATTGACTGCAAAGGTAAACTGTCCTGTGTGCTGCTGGGGACGTATAATTATGGGAAGTATGAACTTCTTGTGTTGCTCGCAGGCAACAGGTAAATATTCACACAAGGAATATGCAAGCTACCAAAGTGATTTTGCCCATGATATTAAATGTATGATTTCTCTTGTATCCTTAGAAATTGGACTGGAATTCACCTTCCAAGTTTACAGCTGAATACACTTCCCTACGTGTAATTCACACAGTCGGCCAAATTCATTGTTGGCCTAATTCCACCGAGTACGCAGCAGTACTCCAGCAAGATGCTCAGTCCCATTTGCTAAAATAAACATGAATAACAGTTACATCAAAGAAGAATTTGGCCTAAACCTGATCCTTCTGCACTTTTATTAGTTCACTACAATTGCACGGATCGTGTGTCTACAGAAGTCGACTGGAGAAACACTCTGTTTTGTAGCAATGAACTTGGAATACACTGGGTTCCTTAGTGTATAGGTTACACTTTGAAACTAAAGAAAAAAGAATTTTGCAATTAGCCATCAGAGGGAGCTCACATGTGGCTCAGGAAAAAAAATTAAGCAAAGACCACAATATTGGAATATGACTGACTTGAAAAATCCTGTGAAATCCAGCTTTTCTCTCATTGAAAATTTGTACACGAAAGATTTTTTTTTTTAATCTCTCTCTCTAAAAAGATGAGCTTATACTAAGTTGCCCAGAAATGGCCACTTGGCCAAGTGTCTGTTCATGGTATCTACACACAGCTGGCTCACAATTTTCATGCAACACCCCCCAAAAAGCCTGAGCCTGAACACCACAAAGAGGGGTCTGATTTTGCTAACTGCTGAGCTCCCTGTGGCTGCTGCTGCTTAAAGCTGATCCAAAGTGTTCCAGTAACTTACTTCTTGCTTATCAGATATTGAATTTCTCATCAAGGTCCTATTTAGATTTATGTAAAGAATAGCTGCTGCACAAATACCACTGAAGGCCTGATTTGCCCTGCTGACCATTTACTAGAAATGCTGACACAGGGGAATGAAAGCTCCCAGCTCAAACCTCTGATTAGATCTATAGGGCTGACAAGAGAACATCTTTTAGACTGGTGAACTTGACAGCTATGCTTTTGAGAAACAGTGAATGCAGAGTGCTATAGCAGAGCATGCTCACAGTTGTATTTCAGCAGAAAACTGACATTTAAGGGACACCTATTAACAAGGTGTAAGAAGTAAGGAAACTTTTTTCTGTTCTACAATTTGTCCAAGACAGGACTGAGTGCCCAGAGAACAGCACCACCAGCAATGGCTTCACTATTTTTTTGTTCATTAGTAAATGAATATGTGCAAGAACTAATAAAATTTCACCTATCAAGTATAATTTTTAAATCATCCAGACCTGGAAACTGAAAATGCAGAGTAACCACCTAGTGAGTTATTATACAAAACCTATAAAATCAATACAAAAGAAACATTAGACATTGCTTAATTTAAGAAATCCACTCAAACATTTGATGGAATTTTCTGAATGGTTGCCCTTATATGGACATTTAACACTAATGCCAAATCCTACGCTTTGTAAAAATCATCATTTACAGCTCTAAGGTCTGAATTCAGTCCCCAAAATTTTAACTACAGGCTGTCTAAAGTCATTCAGTAGAAAGATTGACCAAATATGTGCAGAGGGGTTTTTACAGCTGACATAAAAGTTGCAAGAGTCGATTCTCCATTTAGACAGCAGAATCAAACACTGTTTGGCCACTAGATACTGCTCTGTGCTTTGCTCTGCAGCCTACCCACTGCTGAGTGGATGCCGCCTACTTGGCCTCAAAAAAATGTCTTTTGAACCATTTGCAGTTAAGGCTGCTGCAAAATGACTTGATGGCAGTAAAATGAATTGGTCTGACTCAATCTTGATCTTGTCATATTGCTAAATTGCACAGTACCAGGACTTGTACCTTTGATAACCCACCTGTACTGCACATCTTGACTCCAGCACTACGTGGCATACAGGCACATACATTTTTCTTTTGCATATACAATTTTTGTAACCCTTTGCTGGACTCTTGCTCTACTTCAACAAAGATGTCATGCTCACAGAAATGAAAGGGATACCCTAAGGCTGAGATTTTCAGCTGCTGAGCATCAATTCATGGCACAAAATCCTCTGAAAACTCCATAGCTATAAACTATTTTAAAGAAGCCCCGGAGCTCCAACACCCCTGCAAGCTTGAAGAAAATCTCCCAAATACAAAAGATCAACCGCAAACCCAGTAAAACTGACAGTTATAATTTGGGACCCAAAAGATGGAACAACCAAGAATTAAAGGACAACTTTGTCAGTTTTCAGCTTCAATTCTCCTATCTAAGCTGAAAAGTGAGGCTGCAGCACCACAGAGGAATTTAACATGTCTTAGTACGTAGCAGATCCCTTCTGCAGCAGCAAAGAAAGTCTTGACACCTAATTTAATTGAATAGACAGTTCAATAAACTCTGCAATTGGTTTGAAGTCATTTTGGATTAAATGCTAGGTCAATAGATCTTTATGCCTTATTGTGACTTTGATTCACTTGTGGGACGCATGGAATGTGTCCACGTTTCCTTCTATTTTCCACCAATTATTAGAAACACAGTAATTTGTAAAGACCCCAAAACACGGTACTTGATCCATCAATGATTTTGTGCAGTAAGAAGAATGGTGACTAAATTGTTGTTAGGACCTCCGTATGGATCTGGATGCCCAACTCCACCATGAATGAACTTAGACCTCTGCTCTCAGGAGCCCAAACCTGTTTGCACTCAGCATCCTTCTGCACCTCCACTGCTTCTGCACTGATTGCTTAGAAATCTGTATGTGATTCTGATGATCATTTTAACCACTTTCTCCTTCCAAAGGAGTCAGAGAGGCCTCCACATTTATTACATGGGTGAAAAGAAGAACAGGACCTAGCACTGTGTTAATCAACTCTACTGCTCAGGCTGAAGCCATATTAAACACTGAAGACTTGGCAGTGATTGGTTTTTTTAAGGTAATTCACTAGATGGAAAACTCAAATGGCTGATTTAATTTCTGATTTAGGAATATACTGTTTGCCATTGCCACCAAAACCCAAATATACCCAAGACCTAGAGTTAGCCTACAAAACTAGGCCTTTTTTTTTTTTAATGCTTTTCATTAGATACAATTATTCCTATCTACATTTTGGCACTTGCAGATAAGTAGTCCAAGCAGATGCGAGAATATTTTACCTCACTTAGTTGCGCTTTTCATGAATAGGGACCCAGGCCCAGATACCCTCTACCATTGTCAGCAGTGTTTCCAGTGCCCTGGTCACAGCAGACTCCTGTGTCCTCACAGAAAGGGCTCCTGCCAAAAAAGAAAACAAATTTGGGATCTGTTGGGGCAGAGCTACAGACTTGTCTACCCTTAGTTTATTCCATCCTTTCAAGAGACTTAGCCCCTTTTTGCTCTGAAAAATTCACTGTTACTGGGCTATCCACAGGCAAAAGGTTGTAATCCTCACCCAGAGGACAACTTCACCCCAAAATCTGGGATGGCTGATTTCTATTCAAAGACAGGGTTAAAACTGTAGGCATGAACAACTGCAGGCTGTTCTGGTGAAGAAATGGTATCTTCCAGCTTAGTGCCATAAAAAAGCTGTAAATATTATCTAATATGTTAAGAGTGCCTTTCTTCCTCTTTTTATTTGATGATTTAAACAGCTTCAGAGAAGGCAAGTGAGGTTTGGAACAGAGTCTCATAAATATCATGCAAACTGTGTTTTTTTGCTCTTGCCAGCTAAGAACTCTGCATGGATAGGAAATCATAAAAAATATATTGTGTCTGATTCAACTCATGCCGCTCCTTCTCAGGCGAACTCCTACTAATTTCCAGAGCAGGATAAGGTTCTCGGGATTTGGGGCTGAATGACACAGAGCAATAGTCAAACTGCACTGAGTAAATACAAGCTGTCATGGCATGCAGGCAGAAGCCTGTAAAACAGAAACAGTCCTTGAAGGTCCTAGAAACCCTAAAAATCCAAAACACTCTACCAATGGTTTTTGCTAACTGAGGAATCTGGTATCTTTCTGCCTAGCTACTGTCACAATATGTGGCTTGTATCTGAACTGGTAAGATCTCAAATACTCTAGCCACAGGAGACAGTCCAGGTTTTACAGACGAGGAAAACAGGATTCATTACCAAATTGCCCCAGAGTAATGGAGTTGGTGAGCACGTGCAGCATAACAGGACAAATGGTGAAAACGCTGAGTCTGCCTGCAGCGGTTTGGGTAGGAAGGCAGTTTCCCAGTGCTGGGCTGGACTGTGAAGCCCTCAGTGATGCTTGAGAGCTCTCTGACCCAAGCTGACAGCAGATAGCGCTGACGGTGACTGGCAGGGCCCTGATTTCCTCTGGAGGTTGAAGTGACAACAGAGGCCTCTGACTGTGAGTGAGGGCACACCAGGAATGTAACGGGTAGAAACCAACAAAACACTATTCAAGCAAATACAAACTTAAATTTGGCCTCCCATTAGTCACAGCCTCCTCATAGCAGCAAGTGCCAGAATGTTTTGGGAGGTCTCAGCATATAAATTACTATTTGTCTAGCATGAAATAATAGTCTGATTAAATCAAAGCTGGAAGAGCTGCTGCCTTTCATCATACTTATTTTCATTTAGTTTGAGGGCAGACAGCAGAGTGAGCCCTTGACAGATGCAGCAGCAGAGGTCCATGCCTCGGAGAGCGCTCGGAGCGCTGCAGACATCAGCCAGGTGCCCTTGCAGGCAGAGCCCCTCACCCACCATGTCCTGCCCGGGCATCGCTGCTGCGGTGCTGCCGTGGGCCCTCCGCAGCTGCGGGTGCCTGCACAGGGCAAGGACGCTCCGGGGAAGGGCAAGGCAGAGCAGATCAGGGCAGGGAGGAGGCTGGGAGCCTGCAGAACGGCTGCCAGCAGGCACCAGCTGGAAGGGAGAATGTGCTAGGGCTGCCGCAGCTTTCCTCCAGCCTCCTCTGAGCTGAAGGTCTCCCCTCAAAGGCAGTCCAGAAAAACTACAGACTCTTCACACACTGCTCGGCACCTTTAGGGGCTGTCTCACTGTGCCTCTCACTCCCTCACATCCTAGCAGGGTGAAGGACACTGGTCTTTATAAAACACTGTTTCTGGGACTAGGAACTTCATGGCGACAGTGTGGATGTTTTCTGCGAGACAGCCAAAGAGGTGCCGGAGATGCCCTTTGGGATGACCACCAGCGAGGAAGTCAGTGCCAGCTACGCCATCCGAAAGAGCACTCTGGTCGTGTTCAAGAAGGTAGGAGCACAAAGTGCAACAGCAGCTTAAGGCTGCTGGAATTTCTCAGGATCAATAATTCCCTACTTGCAATTCACACAGCTGAGCATAACAAATACCGTATTTACAGACAAGAGAGGGTAAAAAGCAGCCATAGGACAACTGATACTTTCAAATCTGGTTGCCCACACTCAGGTTCCCAACATTCAGGAATTACATCCAGGAATCTGGATAAAACAGCTTGATTATATAACGTACTAGTTATCTATAATAGCTACTAGGCTCAGGAAGCTGTGAAAAACCCTTGGTGCCTCTTTAAGGTTAGAAATCTTCTTTTCTTCCAAATCACATCAAAATGGCCCCAAAATAAGAACAAAACCATGCAGAAGTAGCACCGACATCTAGGCTACAAAAGCAGTCAGACCAAAGGCAATCTGAGTGAAAACTCATATGCTATAGACAGTGTATCTAGACAGAGAAGAGATCTTTCAGGATGTTAAGATTACTAAGCAGATTAAAACAGCCAGCTGTAACTTGAATTTTAGCTATCACCTTGTTCCGTGGCCTAGCTGTGACATTTATTTTACAAAAGACAGAAGTTTTCTTGGTGAGGATCATAAAAAAAGCAAAGCGGAGAATAACAACATATTAGAGTGTGTTTGCTCCTACTGTCAATAAAACGAATAAACTTGCAAAACTCTACTCTTTATTCTAGGGAAAGCCTGTGCATAATGAAGTGCTTGAAGATGGCAGCCAAAACAAACTGGATCTAACAAGATTAATCAAAACCTTTACCTTGGATTTAGTCACTGAATATAATCTTGAGGTATGTTTGTTTCATTTTGTTCACAAAAGCCACATTTCATAAATGAGTCTATGAGAAAATCCCCTTTATTTCTTGTTTGCAGGGTACAAGATTGCTATATATGTACTGCATATCCACCTTGGCAAGTCAGGGACTGGAAGAGAATGGGGGGATTGGTTAACGTATATCATATTTTATATGCTATTTCCCATTTGCTACAAACTTTCAATTGTACCTTTATAATGTATTACAGAAAGCAGAATGAATTACAGAAGGAATGAAGGGGAGGTGGGGTAAGGAATGGGGAAAAAATATCCAAATATAAAACCTCAACGGAAGAATTCAGAGGAGGAAGAGGGCGATCCTGTCTCCTGCTTGTCCTAACAGCCATTACCTTGTACTGCCTTAGAGCAATGACCCAGCAGCAGGGGAGCACAAGATCTCAAAAATAAAGAACCTGCAGGGCCCACTGAAGGCTCAGGCTGCTACTGCAAAACAGAGATGGGGGGCTGGAAGGTCCATCCCTATCTGGCTCCAACCCTTCCATTCCATGCTGCAACCCTGGTCTTTGTCCCTCGGGCCAAGATAAGGAAGGGACAACAGGCAGTAAGCATTGCTAGTGCAGCTAGAAGGATAAAAAGGTAGATGTAATTACTTGCTACTTCCTCATAGCCTCTGATCATGGAGTGGATGACAAAAAAGACCATGCTCTGTGCAGGGCAGGAGATGTGGGCTGCTGATGCCACACAGAGTGGGTGAAGCAAGTACCCCCCACCAGCTCTAGTTACTGCAGCTGGGCCTCTCTACATAAAACCACCTTTTACTTTCAGCACATCTTTAGTATTAATTCCTCAGCACGTGTTCTACAGGAGGTCAACTAGAATGGTCCCTTCGGAGTGTAAAATCTATGAATAATGATGAGGTTTTTCCTGGAACAGAGCAAACATCCAGCAGCTGCTGATTCTTCTCACTTTATCTTCTTTAAAACAATGAAAAAAAAATCTAAGGGTTATGGAAATGATTGGGAACTATCTCAGCCTTGAAAAGGAAAATTTGCCATACCAGAACTGAATGACACTGATACTCTGAGCATCTGGCTGACTGTTGTGCTTACAAAGAGCAGAGCAGATGTTGCTTCTTTTGTTTCCCAGACATCTGTGAAGATTTTTGATGTCCCTGTTGAAAGTCACATCCTGCTGTTCGCCCCAAAGAGCTCACAAACGTTCAACATGACTTACGAGGATTACAAGTCTGCTGCTGCGGAATTCAGAGGAAAGGTTTGTAGCATTGAACCCTGCTTTGCAAATACCAACTGCCAAAATATCAACTGAAAAACACTTACCAGGGCGGCTGGTAAAAGTACACTGCTGCCAGTCTGTCTCTAACTCTACCAAATCATTTAAAAATATTTGGAAATTTTTATTTCCAGCTTAAGTGTTTAGCAAATGATGTGGAAAATTCAAAGAATAAACTTTGCTATAAGATGTCTCTTTAAAACATAAAGATCAAAAACAAAACAAAACACCAATTCTCGCTGGTCCTGGTTTTGCATATGAGACTTTCTAGGAGCAACTTCCAATCACAGATATTTTTAGCAAAGCTCTGGGAATTTCTGTCACTGCCAGGAAATGCCATGAGGATCTCAGTGCAACCACTGGCCAAATGAAGAGTTGAAACCAGCTACAAAACCTGAAGAGATTTGCAATAGTCTTTTGCCCACAGCACAGAGGTGAATCCACACACACAAGCAGGCACAAGCAGTCATACATAGAGACACTTCAGCTTCCATCCTCAGTCATTATGGGGCTACTCCTGCTCCAAATACACCGACTGCTGCAAAATGGTAATTCATCTTATAATAGACCACTTGGCTTTACTATTGGTAAAGATATCTGTATTACAAGTATTACAGCTCTTTTGTCCTGCTAAGTTCTATTATTGCAAGCAATAAGAGTTTTGCAGGGTAATTTAGATGTGTTAGCAAAATTAATTTAATGGAATACAGCAAAGCAATGTGAAAGCACAGAGTAAAAGCCTCCATCCTTTTCACTTGCTTTAGCACCTGTTATGAGTTTGGACCAAGGCACCATCAAGGTCACAAAGCTGCTGGTTGGGCTTGCACCAAAAACTGGCTCCCCGGGACTTCCTCCACTTGAGGCTCAACCCCAAGCATTATTAAGCTCCAAGCACGATCATATTTCTAAAATTCTGAACCAAAGCTGGGGGACTCAAGCAGATGCTTCGATTGCTTCTTTATTACCAGATAATGTTTGTCTTCGTGGACACTAATGAAACAAGGAACGGACGAGTTTTTGAGTATTTTCGCATCACTCAAGCTGATGTTCCTGCAGTGAGAATCCTCAACTTGACAAGTGATGCAAAGTACAAAATGCCTGCAGATGAGGTGACTGTGGAGAACTTGAGACATTTTTGTCAGAACTACCTAGATGGAAAAGCAAAGGTATGCCCATTATTAACGAGGTGTCCCTTTATACCAGTTAAAATACTAACAAACCCAAAAAGCTGAAGCACCCCTTAAATGACGAAAACACAGTTTGTTGTTCTTATCATCAGTCTGAATTTACACTTGCTTTAGTGTATTCATCTTCACTTGCTGACAGACCAACTGAGATAGACTAAAAAGTTTTCCAGTCCCCCTATGCAAATTCAGAAAAATCATTTATGGCCTAATATTTTAGCTGACTTCAACTGCCATATTTTACTGGCTTGAAGTTTCTCTGTGCCTCGATCTTTCCAATCAAATAATGGAGATACTATTTCTCCTCTCCAGCTAGGAGAGGAGAAGATTCATGACTCATCTCAAAGGATTTTGAGGTTGCAGGAAGGTCTAGTAAATAGAAAACTGACAGTTTCAAAGTAGAATAAGATTTGGCATTTGTTGCAAATGAATTTAAACTTAATTTTGTGTCTCCTAATACTTCTTGTCATAGAATGAATTTTAACAGAGGGTATCATTCCCAATTGATAATACAGCATTTACTGTTATAATGAGGTGTCATCCTCTATTCCCATGTGAAAACTACATTAAAATGTGTTGCTTAATCAGTGCTTTTCACCATGACTTACTTTAGTTACCATAACAAGAAGAGACTAAGTGCTCAACCTGACAGCAGGGGGAATTGAAGAGTTCCAAGTGCTAGATCCTGACTTTGGTGCTGAGGGAGAGGAGGAGGGAAGAAGAGATGGGGATGTCTCCATCTCTTCCCAACAAGAGCTGTGTGAGCTCCCACTCTGAGATCCCATGCGGAATGTGCTCTTTCCTCTGTTGCACTGCAGATGTAAAAGCAAAGATACAGAGATAGCAAAAGCAATGATGGACATTAGCTAAATAACTAATCAGCCCCACATTAACTAGGAGTAGTTTCTCACTGCTCCCCACACTTTCACTGCTGTGTTTGTTTTTGATTAGCTACATCTCTCCAGTGAGGAAGTTCCAGAAGATTGGGACAAGCTGCCTGTCAAAGTCCTTGTCGGGAAGAATTTCAACAGGATTGTCTTCAACGACACCATGACCGTGTTTGTAATGTTTTGTAAGGGTCTCTAGTGTACTCAGATACTAAACTGCTTTAGTGATCATTTGAATGTGAAAAAAACAAAACCTGTGTTTCCACACCAAACTAAACCTTGTACTTTACAGAAGTCCAGCTTAAGGATTTTTTGCTGTCTGAGGAAAGCATTAAAGAAAAGCTTGTGTCACATCAATGGAAACACCATGGTGCTTCTGCTGACTTAAGATTGCACTGAATAACACTGGATCCCTTAAGTAAATATTTGCCAAGATAATATCAAATCTCAATGTTGAGAGACAACGTGAAATTAGAATGTCATGCTGTACAATGGGACATTATAACGTGCTGTACAGCCTGAGCGAGGCTGCTTCCAAGGCAGAGGCAGGGCACACGTGGCTGTACAGCTACAGCACACTAGGATTAAACTCCAAAGAGGAGCTGCAGTTTAGCAAATAGCTCTTCTCCTCTGTCTACAAAGGGAAATCACTTGCCTTTTGACCCTTCCCAGCAATAAACACTGCCCTTCTCCATAGCAGCCAGTAGTGGCAGTAGCAACTGGGGCCTTAGTTACTTCAGTATAGAAAAAGATGCAGCATGAAACTAAGCATAGACAACTAGCTGGACTGCCCTGAACTCAATGACTTTCATGTGGGCTGTGCAGGCCTGGTCTCTAGCAGAGTCCCATGACAAGGGCTGCGTGTTCACCCCTGCAGTGACAGGCTGGCCAGGGCTACGGCCGCACCGCGAGGGAAGCGGCTGCTGATCCCCACAGCAGTGGTGAGGTAGGGCATGAAACTCATGAAGGCTGAATGGTTTCAAGTAAAGACTGGCCACAGCTGAAGTCTAAAACCCTATGAATTTTCTGGGCTAAATAGGTCCCAATAATTGCACAATAACATGCTCTTCTGCCAGATTGTGTACTTCTGGTTTTACATTGCAGATGCCCCATGGTCCCATGCCTGCACAAAACTCCTGCCAATATGGGATAGGCTGGCAGAGGAATACGAGAGTCGCAAGGACATAATGATTGCCAAGATAGATGTCACGGCAAACGACATCCTGTCCATCATGCTGGATCACTATCCATTCTTCAGACTGTTTCCTGCAGGGCCTGATTACCAGGTGAGAGGCTGACGGGGACGCAGAGGCCGAGCTGCGCGGGGAGGGGGGACGTGTGTATGCGTGAGGTGCAGAGCACAAGCACGTGAGCCAGGAGCCTTTCCCGCAAGGACACTTTATTCCTCATCCACTCAGCCTCGGATTACTTGCTGCCAAGAACCTGAGCCAAGGATTCACCCTTTAACCTTTCGTATGAGCAAGGTTGTGGAAAAAGTCTATTATTTACTAACCTGGACTTCGAACGCGCATTCTGCTGATTCGCTTAACCCTCTTGGGTTCTAGCAATAATAATCTTAACTCAGAGTGAACTTGAGAGATATCCACCTGATCACCACGGCGTCTCTGTGCTTTGAAACATGCGTCTCCTCACAAAACCACTCTCTGTCTGTGGTTTCCAGAGCAGGAGTGACTGCAATAGCAGAGTGGTACCAGCATTTGAGAGGTCATACTCTCTAAACTGCTACAGAAATCAAATCCTGGAACTTCTCCTATGCACTTATGCCAATGATTTAATGTCATTTTAATATCAACAAGACTAATCGTTTTTAAAATATGCTGCTTAATACATCAGCTATGTTACAGCATATTCGGAAAATGTTACTGAAAAGAGACAAAGAAACGTATGAGACAAATAGTTATAGTCCCCACCTCTGTGGATGATCTGATTAAAAAATACCATCTCTGAAGGAAAATATTAATTCTAAGATGTGGTTATAATTAAGACATTACTAAGCTTTTCATATTTCTTCTTAGTCCCAAACTTCAATTAAACTCCAATGCATTCGTCCATTACCTCATTTAATCTTTTAGGGACACATTTTGCTCTTGGATGTGCACGCACAGCTCCTAACTGAACTGAACTGCAGTCCTGCATGATCAAACACTGCTTAGGCTTTGTGCAGAAGAGCAGAGACCCATTAAATGCTCACAATAAATGTCAGTTTGTCAAAAAAAAAAAAAATCAGGAACAAGTTTCATTAAACAGCAAAGGATTGTTTTACACTTATAATCACCCAAAAATTAGGGGGCATTTACAATGTCAGGTTCTTCCTTGCATGCTCTGTTTTTACACTAGTTCCCTCAGCTTCACAGATTTCACTCTGCACTTCAGCCCAGCGCAGGTGTCTCGTAGGCCTCTGCGATGGCTGATCTGGGTGTTTTGGCCTTCTTCCTTCCTGCTCGGCCTGAACAGCTGCCCATAGGAATCCACCCTTAGCCTGGCCAGCCAGAAATGACTAGAGACACACTCAGGTCATTAACACACAGCCACTGTGCTACCCAGGCATCAGTTATACACAGAGTTCTTTTAAGTACACTATTTAAAAATTAACTAAAGTTAAGGACACAGAGTCCTCCCCAAGTCAGGAGTACACAGGTAACATGAGCATGTGAGCAGAGTGCTACCACAGCTGGCACTGCACGGGCACTGCGTGAAAACTACCACCCCGACTCCCTTGTTCTGCCAGGAAGAGATGACTAAAGGCGCTTGCAGCCAAGGAGTTAAACTGGTGTGCTCTGAAGAAAGAAAAAGAGCTATATAGAGACCAGTAATAACACCTGCTGCCACTTTGATTTCACACAAGCTTTTTCAGCCCTCAGTACTTCACCAAGGTTGGAAACGCACGAACACAGGAACTTTCCAATACTCTCTCTCCTATTGGTAAAGGACAAAGCATGCACTCAATGCTGGGGCAGAAGCAGTAGAACTCTGTGGCAATGTTTAATAACATACATAGGAAAGATCCTGAGGTCAGTCACTGGCAGGATGCAGGAGCTGTAGTATACAATAATGGTTCAGGTTTTAGTACAAGTACTTTTCTTCTTAGAGATGCATCTATTTTTGCTTTACGCTTGGGTTTCAAGTAACGAGGGAAATTTCTGCATCTCTGCCCTAGCTTTGAGCTGCACGCAAGAGTCTACACTTAGGTGAATCTACAGATTTGAGATCCTTCAACTGATTTATGCTGTGACTTCAGGCACCTGGTGCAGACAGTTGAATTTTAATCTTCAAACATTTTCAGGTGGTGGCTTATGCTGGGGAACATACTTTGAAGGCATTTTCTGAATTCTTAGAAGAACAAAGCAAGACAAAAACAGCAACAAAAGAGAAGGTAAGAGCTGGATCTCCACATCAGTCAGTCTGCTGTGCAACCCAGGACACCTTCACACCCTGTATAGATACACCCGAGCTGGTTTGTAGCGTGGCCCTGCGGCGTGGCCTTCACCCTCGTGCCTGGGCTGCTCCTAGCAGCCCTCAGCGAGCCTGGTAGCTTGGTACGTGCAGCCTTGTCCCACACACACCCCGTCTCCATCACCAAAGCTCCTCTCACATTACCAAGGCAGTGACAGCACTGCTCGGCCCTTGGACAACCACAGGCGAGACCTGGCCAGTGTTTCAGCTGGCGGTGGGGAGGCTTCAGCTTCTTCAGACACTGTCCCCTCTCTAGGTGATCTGCTTAGAAGTCCTTTTTCACTGTAATTCACCCCAGAAAAGCACCAGCTGCCTCAGATAAGCCTCTCGTTTCCTTCCTGACTTTCAGCAAAGACCTACTGTAAGTGACCAACACGATGAAGCCCTGTGCAAAGCACTAAAAAAGATGTTTAAGAGATACTGTTCACCCAGCATGATGAGCATGGGCCTGGCTGCCTGGGAGGGAAGAAGTAAATCCACAAGGTAGCAATAGTTAGCTCTAATACTGCATTTTCAACTAGTAGGAAAACTGTCTGTGGGTGTAAAAATGATTTGACTAAAGGCTTTGATTCACTCCTGACTTCATTGCTCACATGGGTGGTTACAGATGGAGGGAGATGACTAAACTAATACTAGGAAACGCAAGTCTGCAATGAATGATCAGACATCCCATCAGCCACCCTCCAAACTGACCCAGAGAGATGTACTGTTATGCCTTTTGCAGCACAGTACATGGTGTGAAAATGCCCTTTTGGGAGTAATTCTTTGTCCTGTCCTCAAGGCATTCACAAACAGAATAAATAAGTGGGTAGTTTCATTTTAGGTTATCCAGGAAAAACTGTCTTACACCAGTTTAAAGTGCTTTTCCAAGTTCTTAAAACTTCACAGAGAGCCTCATTTAAACCCCACCATAAAACAGTGAAACAAACAAGTGAAAACAAAACACTCGAGTAATAGCAGCACTTCTGACCCCATTAACATGTCCTCAAGTTCCTCAGTTGAAGAAATGAATATCTACATTTCCCATAGTTCTAAAAAATTTTGAAAAGTGAAGAATTACTAGAGAGATTTTCTTTCTTGTGATTGTCAGCAATAAGCAGTTTTGCTCTTGCTTTTGCTTTCTTTGAAGGATCCTTCAGGAAGGACCAAAGAGGATCTCAGCCAGGAAGAGAACATCGTAACACAGAAAACAGAGCTCTAAGAGTACAGAGAAAAAGGGATCTGGGGAATCCTTCCTGGAAGGAGAGACGGAATCATCTCAAGTGAACAGAGCGCTGAATCAAAAAAAATAAAATAATTAAAATATCAATGATGCCTGTTTTGAATGCAACTTTGCTGGTGGTTTTACTGGGATCAGCTATCACATAAATAGTGGCAAAATTATTATCCATTTTGCTTACATAATGTCTTTATTATCAATATAACTGTTGTCATTTAGAAAGTCATATGCATGTGGTAGGGTAAAGAGATCAAGGCACAAAACTGTTCTTTTTGAACCAAACCTGCACATGATTTGCGACCAAATGCATGTGACACTCCGAGAAGAGCCGTGTTATTTCCGAGGGAGACGCTCTCTCCAGAGGCAGCGGATTAGCACTGCTAACACCAGTTCTAGCGTGATCTTACAAACAAGCAATTGCACCAAAGCTGTGCCCAAAGTGACACCAGCTTTAGGTTAACTCTTCTAAGCTTCTCCGCCCCCTGGGCACGGAGGGATTCAAGGTGCTCACGGTGCCCTCCTCTCTCCCTCAGCGCATCCTGCAACCCGGCTTGTGGATAGGCAATGACCTAGGGGAAGATCGGCCGAACCATGAGCTTCTCAAGCTCTGCTTTCCTTGTTTGACCATTATACAATGCAAGAGATTCAAATACTCAAATCAGTTCGTTTTTTTATATTCAAATTCTTTGGCAAAATGTTTTCATTTCTTTCGTATTAAAACTCATTAAAATTAGCAACATCTAAAACTGGAAACTGCGGTAGAGCTGAGAGATCTAGCCCACTCCTTCACTTGTAATTGTGAACCACAGTTGAGCTGTTATTAAAACCCTTTTTTGCAAATGACACGTACTATTTAATTCTCATGTTTTTAGGACATAGCAAGTTTGTGATGAAACTGCAGTACAGTAATAAGTGAAAATTCAGTTTGACTTGCAAGTGGCAACAGGAACAGATGGGATCCCAGATAGCAGGGTGCTAGTTTTGGAGCAATCAACCTACGTTTGCTACCAGCAACAACTCCCACTTCAACTGGAATGACCACAGATAACAGCAGGCAGTTCTTA